TGGAGTGCAAGACTGGGCAGCTTATTGTGCCTTGGCTTGTCTCCGGCACAGACTACACCAGTACGGTATATCTAGCATGATGTAGCACGACATTGGGCTAGGTAGAGTGCACTGGAGATCAGTGCACCAGGGGACTTGCCCATCTCCATGCCCATCTACACTGTACATGCCCATCTACTGCCAGCAGGGGCAGATTATCATCACTGATGCGCTGCTGCTGCCCATCTCCACTGTTCACTGTTGTACTGACGTGCAGGGAACACAATCCCAGGTAATCACATGATCTCTCGTTTGAATGAGTTGCCGTTGTTCATTCCATTGACTGGCATCTTGTGCCCAATGGACAAAGCATCACACAGAGGATGGATTGTAGATCGCCGACATGCAGGTGTTTATGTGAAGGCGCTTTAGCCTGCAAAGGATATGGGCGACAATAATCAATATCGAGATCTAGTCTGTAGCACACCTCGAGCACATCGTCTACAGTACAGACTTGAGCGTGTGGTGTAATGCCCTGATACATGGACTTACCAATATTGGGATACAGTTACTGAGTAGGTCTACTGGTATTGGTGATTGTGTTTATAATGCCCAATGGTAGAGTAGCAGAGACTGTCTAAATTGCATTGCACCCTTCAGTCTGATCTACTGCCTTGCTTGGCCGACCTTTCCCAAAGCTTCTCGAGAGATATCGTCTCCTGTGCTACCAAGTGTTGAAACGTTCTTTACCTTATGCTTGCTCTGCGGCTTTCATGCATTGCAGTCTTCAATGGACTGAAAAGAAGCAGGAACTTGGGTGTTGAGTGGTTGATGGTAAAGCCCGAGGAGGCGAGGCCACTCTAATGGTGCTTTCTGCATGATACTGCCCCTCCCCCTGCCTCCTGCCCCGGAGACCTCCATAGATTGCCCCCCCCCCCCTCCCACAGCAACGCTGGAATCCAGGACCAGGGTGTAGGTCTACCGGTGGCGCTGCATGCACTGACTGTACTTGATTCTGGAAAAATTAATGTTGGTGAGTTCAAAGTTCATGGGGTCACGGTCACGAGGTCTCGAGAGCTCGGGCTCGTGTACAGCACTGCTCACACAACCGTGACAACGGCGAAGACCGACATGAAGACTATTGAGTGTTATAAAAAGAAGTATGGCAGTATTGTTTTGTAGCGGCCTCGGGTTCCGGGCAGGCTACCACAAAAATAGAAAATATCACAAACGCAGCCAAGAACGGAACAACGCGATGGCCTGACAAGTCACAGTATCGCACACACACACAATGCGGTAAATGCGGTAGTGTTCACACTGTCCAGTCTGTAGTGCCATTGCTGTGAACATGGTGATTGATGGATGTGAGCAGAGAGTACCAGTATCACAGAATCCCATCGCCGTGTTCAGGGTGTGAGAAAAAGCACTACCGGTATGCCTTGTGATCTATCCACCTCAGGCTCAGGCGTGGGGGAAGGGTACGTAATTAGTCACAAAAATATGATGACCTGAGTACTTGAAGTAGATGATAGCTGCCATGGTTATTGTGAAGTCTCTCCTTGTACTAATGGTACTATGCTTGGAGCCATGGAGGGAATACTTGATCAGCTGCAAAGCATTGTGTGATTTGTGGGTTCAAGCACTTGTAGGAGTAGCGAACATAGAGAAAGCAGCTGCTACAGAAAATTCGTCGAAAAATCGTCAGAAATCTGTCCCTGATCCAGATGATGGGAAGCGAGCACAGTCAGTGCTTGTGCCAGAATACCGGCCCGGTCAGTTGGGTTCTTCTGAACTCGCCCAAGTCGTGCAGCTGCAAATAGAATTGGGATTGGCCTGGATTCGTCAGTTAGTCGAGCATTAGCATTGTTCATGATTTTTCTGATGTATTGATCGCTAGCACCTCTCTGCACGTTTTGAGGTTATAAAGTTAGAAATCACCTTTCAATTTCTACAGATGAGAATAGATGTATGCGTTTGTGAAATCTGCTGAATGAAGTTCTACTTCCTTTTCTTAAAGGGGAAGTATACCCTAAAATCAAATTTTCACCAGTTGTAGTCTTCTGGGTGCTGAGTCGAATGGTCTTGGTCCGAGGAAGCTGCGACGCTCCCTTCCTACTTGAATCCCAATCGAACTCGCGCACTTCCACCGAAACTGGGTGACTGCGCCCTACTAGATGGGGATTTGTATGCAAAATGTCACTAAAAGCGCCATTTCGTTCTTATAAAAGCACGGATGACCGCGATTGGCCCATATGTTGTAGTCTTTTGGACGCTGAGTCGACTGGTTTTGGTCCGAAAAGGCTGCGATGCAGCGTTCCTCCTTTATTCCCAATCGAACATGGTTGAACAAGCGGTCACGTGCTCCTGGGTGCCCAAATCACCTGGTCACCGCGCCAGCAGGCGAGAACTTTCACACCAAGGTTCAACTCGAGTTCAACTCGAGTGACAGGACTGCACCCAAAAAAGGTCAAACAGGCTAGTAAGTTGTACCCTGCAGGCACGGTGACCAGGTGACTGGTGTACGCAGGAGCACGTGACCGCTTGTTCAACCATGTTCGATTGGGAATAAAGGAGGAACGCTGCATCGCAGCCTTTTCGGACCAAAACCAGTCGACTCAGCGTCCAAAAGACTACAACATATGGGCCAATCGCGGTCATCCGTGTTTTTATAAGAACGAAATGGCGCTTTTAGTGACATTTTGCATACAAATCCCCATCTAGTAGGGCGCAGTCACCCAGTTTCGGTGGAAGTGCGCGAGTTCGATTGGGATTCAAGTAGGAAGGGAGCGTCTCAGCTTCCTCGGACCAAGACCATTCGACTCAGCACCCCAAAGACTACAACTGGTGAAAATTTGATTTTAGGGTATACTTCCCCTTTAACATTTTCCACCAGCCAACCATGAGTACAATCGCTATCCACCAGACTTGCTCACAGCACTGCTCTCCGCTACAATGCGTGTTGTGAGAGGCGCTGATTGGCGCTATGGCAACCAAGATGGAGGACCCGGGACAGTGGGGACAATTGTGCTGATTCCGACTCCAGGCTACGTGAGAGTACGCTGGGACAGTGGTAGAACGTTCGACTATCGCATGGGCGCGTCCCGTGCTTATGACCTGTATCTATTTGCTGGACGAGTACCAAGTAAGTCACACACGCACACAACGGTGAACCTCACACTTACACTAGGACCGAAGGGCGGACATTCAGCTCCTTGATCTTGCGTAAAACACTGTTGACTGTATGATCTTTTTAGGAACCATATTATGTCTTCCTACCTCACCATGATATGCCTTACTAGTACTTTCTGGTTATAAGTTGGCCTAAAACCAAATTAGGAACAGGGGTAACATACCTACCAACCATCCTGATTTGGTCAGGACTGTCTCGATAGTTGAGGGTGGTAATATGCACCCAAAGGTGTACTTGTCGCATGCCTCACAGCTACATTTGTATACATTTTCATACCTAACGTTAGGTACGTCATTGTACAGATCTCAGGCTTGCAAAGGTTGGGAAATATGGGGTAGTTGACTTACCACCAGGGCTTAAAGTAGCTCGAACCTCTTTCTAAATTTATGGAAATCAAGATCAGCGACTGCTTTGTTAGAGATGGGATTCGTATTGAAACCCTATAGCTTGAGGGGACAGCTACCCGATGACTAAATTCCAGTTTGGGGGCCTGTGTGCATTGTTATCGTAAGCAGGCCTTGGGTTGCCTTAGGTGTTCAGGAGTGTTTCTGTGTCTTGTTTCTTCTGCAGGCACCACTGAATGCTCTGACCCAGGCATCCCGCAGTTTGGATCTCGGGATAATGATGGCCCATTCTTGGTGGGGCAACGTGTGTTCGTGACCTGTGATCCTGGGTACAGACTGGTCTCTGGTCGGGATAGCTATATTGTATGCCAGCCAGGACTGACTTGGTCTGATGCATTACCCCAGTGTGGTAAGTGTATCATTGAGACATGCCGCTGCATTGAAGAATCTTGTGCACAATGTATGCAGTGGAAATGTGAAGCATGCTATACGTCATAGCTTATCAGTACAGTGCATAGTACATGGTTGGCAATTGTTAAATTAATTTCGAATTGTGTTTCTGACCGGAATGTTGTAATGTTATGAACTACCAATTTAAACTGGCCGTATACATTTTAAGTGGCTTCTCACCCGGATCTCTGTTTGGCTACTCAAACACACCAAGGAGAATGCAGATCCAGAACATGAAAGTAGAATTTTGTCCAGCTGTCTGGTTAGCGACTTGTCAATTGTCTGTTGTTCACTGTGCAGCTCCTAGCGTATGTCAAGATCCCGGCACTCCATCGAACAGCCAGCGCATTCCATTGACCGTGCCAACCGGAGGATTCAGAATTGGCTCAGCTGTAGTATATTCATGCCTGTCTAACTTTCAACTGCGCGGCACAGCTCAGCTCATCTGCTTACCAAACTTCCAGTGGTCCGCGGATCCTCCAGCCTGTTCCAATCAGTGCGCAGATCCAGGAATGCCGGTCAATGGAATGCGCAACGGCAACTCGTTTGCTGTTGGCAGTGTTGTCTCGTTCGTATGCCAGCCAACATACCGACTCGTCGGCTCAAGTCAAAGACGCTGTGGTAGTGATTTACAATGGACGGGCAGCCAACCACAGTGTGCAGGTACGCAGCAGACATTTACTCTGAAATGTGCAATTGTCAAGAACGCAATATATAATGTATTCAGATAATACAGAGGCAGTGTGCCTTAACCTGCAATAGTGCTCAAATGCCCGGAATGGGCAGAGCGTATGTTGTCTGATGATTGGTTTTGCCATGAAACTCTGAGTCAGTACAACGAAACAGCCCTATTTTACTTCCTTTCGTGTACCTCTTGCGTATTCAGATAATAGAACTTGCCATAGTAGTGTTCCACCAAAATTAACATTTGCAGAGAAAGGATATAGAGGGTTAGAGTTACTGGAAACATAGCAGGACAGGGGTCTTGGTGTGTAGACGCTTTTCTGATGTGTGATCGGGTGCCTTTCCGATGTGAGCTGTTATAGTAAATGCACATTGCCTACATGGTCCGTCCAAGGCATACCTATGTCGTTTGAGGCAGATACACACTTCACTGGGCTGCATGTGTTCTTCGATTCCCTCCAGCTCTGAGCCGCTGCGCAGACCCAGGAGTGCCTAGCCAGGGTAGTCGCACACCCTCAGTGGCAAGCAACACCATATTCTCTCCTGGAGATCGTGTCCTCTACAAATGCGGTGCCGGCTATGAGCTGCTTGGAGCTATTATGCGTGTGTGCCAAGAGGACAGGTCCTGGTCCAATGAACAGCCAACATGCAGACGTTAGTACAATGTGAATTTATCATGCACCTAGCTGTTTGTATGAGCAATGGATTGCCTATCGTATACATGAGTCAAATGAAAAAATATATTCCGTGATGTCGCACAATACGTGATGTACATGTACATGGCCTACATATATATGGCTCTAAAAGTTGATTTGGCTGCTGTACCAGCTGTTCTTTGTTCATACATGTATTATAAAGGTCGGTTCAAAGGTCAAATTGAGTTCAACGGTCACATGCCGTGCCGTAATGCAATACTGCACAAGACAAATGAGTTTCCCTGCATTGTTGAAACATACTGCTTGCTTTGTAAGAGCATTGATTGGCTCTATCTATGCCACACAACAGCCACGCAAGATATAAGAAGTACGTGTGTCACCTGATTCTACAATAACCAATTTACCTGACTCAGTTCTCATACTACAGCACTGAAAACGCCAGTACTTGCATCAGTTAGTTTATGTACATGAATATTAAAGAAGCTGTGATTTTGCCTTGCTTCTGTTTCTAGGAATCTGCTGTAATGATCCTGGCCGTCCAGACAATGCACGGCGTTCTGGTTCGCAGTTCTGCTTCAACGATGTAGTGGAGTTTTCCTGTTTGAGTCCATTCCAGCTGGTCGGTGCCGAGACCATCACATGCCAGAGTGACGGATCTTGGTCTCACGCCCTGCCACTTTGTGTTACATGTAAGTTAAGACTGATATGAGCTACCTTCTCCGCTTGGGATGGTCAACAGTGCTTTACAGCTTGCAACGGTCAACGTTGGATTCTATGGGTGTTATGTAGGTGGAGGACGGGGCATCACCTCCAGACCCTTTTCACTTGAGTTCCATATTTATGGCTTGGAGCCTCAGTGCTGAATTCGCCTGTCCCCTTGGTAGGATAAATCTGTATCATAGTGCCTGCGATGGTTTCAGGAGGAGAAAGGGTATATTTCATGCACTATCGCAAGCAACTCATATCCTATCATCTGCCGGTGTTTTTCTTGTTGTCTGTTCTAACAGCCTTCAGCCCATACTGTGCACGGCCGTGCAGTCCACCGCAGGGTTCTTTCACTGGTGACCAGTTTATTGTGGGTGCACGCGTTCAGTACTCCTGCAACAGAGGCTATAGCTTGGACGGTGCAAGAGAAAGAAGATGTCAGGAGAACCTGGAATGGTCCAGATCATGTCCACAATGCAAGCGTGAGTATACCATAGGATTTTTAATGACATTTGAACCTGTGTGGGACAGTTCCCGGCCCGGTTGCTTGTCTGGGTGGCTGCGATTGGTTCCCTCTCTTCCCTTCCCGTCCTCCCTTTCAAGACTCTATTGCTAGTGATGTCTCTGCGGGTTGCAATCATTGCTGTGCTAGAAACCGTTCCTCTGCCGTATTAGTGGATAGCATCTAAACAGAATGCTGATAGGGTATACATGCTGACAAGCCCAGCTTCCCTTAGTTTTCTATTACTGCTACTGCATCTGCCGCTAGGGTTTACCGGGTGTTAGCGGCCGTCGTGAGTTCCCTTCGGGAACGGACAGGATAATTTACTTTTTTACTACTTGCTTTTCTAAAGGTACTGACTGTGGTGACCCGGGCCGACCAACCAACGGCATAATCGAGGGCAGCACGTTCACGTTCAACTCAGTTGTTCAGTTTTCCTGCCGGTCGGAGTATGTTCTCACCGGGTCTGCTGTAAGGCGATGCTTGGAGAACGGCTCTTGGAGTAACCAACAGCCTACATGCCAAGGTAAGCCGACATGTCACCGTGGCAGTGTTTTGGTATGGTTAGTAGCAGACAGAACTTATATGATCACTTGGGAGCACACCTCCAGTGCTGATGGACTTCCTGATGGCCTTACCAAATGTATTAAATACTAGTATTAATGGTTGGTGGGACTGTTAATTAAGGTTTACTGGTTATCAGCATTTGCAGCATATTTGCTTGCGCTGATGGTTCTGTTATGTTTCTTGCTTACAGAGAGGGCACAAGGTGAATGCCCACAGCCGGTCGGCTTTGGTGTATGTGCAGAATTGTGCTCTGTGAACAGTTCACTGGGCTGTCCACTATCACAGCGTTGCTGCAGCAACGGCTGCGGCCATAGCTGCCAGACACCATGCCCGGATAACAACTGCAGGACGATATGTCCCAGTGGATTCGAGCTGGATGCGCGCGGCTGTAAGATGTGCATTTGCAAACGTAAGTGTTGCCAAGGACCAACCTTTTGGGACCATTCTCGTACTGTGCGGAGTAGCTAAGTGACTCTGTCTTTCCGCCCGTTTTCTTTGTCATGTCACGGTGTATACGGGAGTGTATATCACTTGTGTAAAGAACTCCTCGAACTAGTCCTTTTTTTTAGCTCGGATGTAAATTTTGACTGTTTACTGTCTCTCTATATTAGTGGACCGTTAGTCTCAACTCGTAACATTTTGTTCTGGCTCTCATAACGTTGTATTTGTTGCTTGTGTTTATTCCTACCCAGTACCCGTACCATGCCCTGACCCTGGTGTTGTATCGTTTGGCTCACGTCAAACCAATGGCTTCCAGATCTCGTCCACAGTGGTGTACGAGTGCTATGCTGGCTATGAGCTGCAGGGTTCCGATACACTGACATGCCAGCCTGATTCAACGTGGGACAATCCCAAACCGACGTGCGAGCGTAAGTTTTGCTACATTGAATCTTCAGCTGGAAGTGCGTATGAAATATTGCCTGAGCATGAGGGCACTGCCGGATTATATCCGCATGAACAGCATCAGCGCTGAATGCAGATATCGGAGCTGGTACTGCCCACGTGCAAGCACGGTACAAGGGTCAGTTCAAAGGTCAGTTCAAAGGTCAAATCCAGTTTACCATTACAGAAGTGTGAAAATAAGATCAAAGGTTAAATCCAGTTTACCATTACAAAAGTGTGAAAATAAGATCAAAGGTCAAATTGAGTGCTGTATTGCAGTATTGCACAGGGCCAAAGAGTTTTCCTGTGCGATTTTCGCGGCAAAGAACTACACTCTGTAGAATCTTTGGTTGGTTCGCTCCATGGCTACAGTCACATGGAAAACGACATTGGCAGTACATGTAATGTCAACATGTGTGTCTTTTCTCACAGGATATGAGCTAGTAGTGTACATTTTAGTAAAAGTTTGCTTCAACCATGATCCAAGATTCCTGATAAAATGGTAGAAATGTAAACCTTTTGATGTAGAAGCAAGTGTCTGAGTGAGAAGGTGACTACGCCGGTCAGCTGTTGCGAAACCTAAGGAAGGTTCCAAGTGACCAGTTGTGAGAGAACATTGAGTCAGTGTACAGTAGTACAACATGGTGATACGCGGTGGTCAACTAACGTATCTAGTATCTAGTAATGACCATCTAGATTTCAGATCTAGCCCGTTATGTAACTACATGCACTACCTTTTCAAGTGGGAATGGACTGTTATGGTCATTCTCCTTCTAGTAATTATAGCAATGCAGATTGGCTCAATTCATTTTCTATCTGCGAACAGAACAATCGATTGGAAATGTTCAAAGCTGAAATTTACTGTTTCATTTTTGCCCGCGTGTACAGCTGTTCAATGCCCAGCACTGAGTCTTCCCAATGGCCTCTTGAACCCGGCCAGTCCTAGCAACTCATTTGGAACTAGTATCAGGTTCTCGTGCACAGACGGGTATCGCCTTACAGATGGTGACACAGTGCGGACATGTCGGGGTAATGGACAGTGGAGCGGCCGACTACCCAGATGTGTTCTTGAAGGTAAAATTCTAAGCCTAATTTATGTAAAATAGAAGAAGAAAACACAAGGAAACGAGTTATGAAGCAACTATCCATAACTGAGATAATAAGCAGTCAGAAAGTGCGACAACAGGGCACAAAACCGACAGGCTACTGAGGCATTCAACGACCTGAGACCTAGCTCTAACACATCTCCAGTGCGCAAACCAACAGCCTTCCCAACTGGAAGGTTCATGGTTGGGTAGGACCGAAGAGGGGAAGGTGAGTGCAGCGATAATGTGCACAAGCCAAGTCCCACTGGCCACGGCAACAAAGAATGCCGACTGTTACAGGACGATGACGAGAGCAGTTTTAAATAACACGACAATGCGGTCTAAGTACAGTTCGAAGCAACACAGCAACACATCACCCAACTTAGGTGGCCCGGGCAGCAATATCACAGATAAAGTAAGGGGAAGCTTTGCGAAAACGAATTGTACAAAACCGGACGCCATTATCTAACGGCACTCCTCATACATGACACTATGCATGACAGTAGTGCCTTCCAAGTTGGAAAGCTGTTGGTTTGCGCACTGGAGATGTGTTAGAGTTAAGTCTCAGGTCGTTGAATGTCTCAGTAGCCTGTCAGTTTTGTGCCCTGTTATCGCACTTTCTGACTGCTTATTGTCTTGTTTAATACAGTCGTGGTTAGTTGCTTCATACCTCGTTTCCTGGTGTTTTCTTCTTCTATTTTACATTCATTACTGGCTCATTGTCCTAATTTATGTATCTTAATTAAATGTATGTTGCTGATTTTGACTACTGTTTTGAGCACCCATGGACAGCACCGTCAGCAGCAGCATAATGTATTCACCAATACAAGATGTAGCAGTTTGTGCCAGAAAATTGGATGTGGACAAATTTTAGCTATTTATCTCTGTTCATTGCTGTCAGGACCTAAGACTGGTTTTTATAATATCTCGGCGACTTTCTATAACATCCCGTGCCGCATCTTCCAATGAAAACATTATTTGCCCCTTGTATCATGTGCGTACAGAGTGTCAAGCACCACCGGTACTGGACAATGGCAGCCGATTGTATCAGACTACAACAGTTGGCAGCCGTGTGACGTGGCAGTGCAACCCAGGTTATGTGTTAGCTGGACAGCCAGTCAGTGTTTGTAGCATCGATAGGACCTGGACACCAGCTACACCGCGATGCCAAGTATCAAGTAAGTAATCATACTTCTTAACTAAAGGGCTTCTGGACAAGACGAGATAGAACATGCCATTGCCATAAAGCATGATGGGATGACCGAGAACGAAACGTTTATAAGCATGTGTGCACTCTTGTGTATGTTTTACACATCGAGTGTGGTGTTTGTTTTCTGTTTCTCTGTAGATCCCTGTAATAGTGTACAGTGCCAGCGATTCCAGGAGTGCGTCGAGTTTGAAGGCCGCGGAGTGTGTCGCGATACCTGTTCATCTGGTCGGTGTTTGATGAACGAGACGTGCAGTCTCCTGGAGGTACAGTGTGTGACCACACCTTGTTTCCCAGTGGCTCAGTGCTCACCAATGGGTAAGGCAGGTTCTGAACGCTGGATGTGAAGTTACCAGCGCTACAGCGCTCCATGCATAATTCTAATGCATGGATGATGTCATTCGATTACTTTCATCCCCTGCACTCCATCAATGCACTAGCACGAAGCTTCTGCTTGTACTTGTTGTTTGTTCAGAGTTGAGGACTAACTAGGAACCTTTTGCTAGAACTTCAGTTATGATTCTCAACTTCTTTAAAACCATTGGTAATGTCTTGTATGTACCATTACCCATAACGGTTAGGATGTTAATACAAGTAAAAAGTATAGTCAGCCTCGGACTATACGTCCTATACTTCAAATGTCAACAAAAATGCGTTTTGGGGCCAAAGGGGGCGGGGGGGGGGGGGGGGTGGCTTACACCCCAGCAGTGCCACTAACACCCTAGAGGATACGGTGCTGCTCTTATGGGTGTGTTGCATACTTGTTATGCCATGAGGGGCAGCTAGCTTTACACAGAATAGTAGGATGGTACCATGCTGTCCATGACCAAACAGATGTTCTTGTTTCAAAGCAATTCCAGTCAGTAACACTATACTAAGTGAGTGACTGACCACAGAGGATGGAATTGAATATGTAACGCATGTGCTGTATGGCTACTGTCCACCAGCAATCGCTCCCTAGCTGCAAGAAGTACCGTATTTTCCGGAGTAACTAGTTATAAGCCACACTGGTTTTAAGCCGCACCCAGATTTCTTTGTCACGGAAACAGACATCTATCCCACTTACCACCATTAATTTGACCATCGCAGCATGAGCCTTTGTTTGGTTGAATTACTGGTGTTTAAGGTGCAGCCTATACTCCGGAAAAACGGTACCTGTTTCTATTTTTTTCGTTACAGATCCTTGCCTATTACCGGCTGAGCCTGGTCCGTGCCGTGCAACGATTCCTCGCTATTACTATGATGACAACCGTGGGGAATGCGTGCCTTTCACTTATGGAGGTTGTCGTGGGAATGCCAACAACTTTGCATTGGAAGCTCAATGCAGGAGGCAGTGTGTCAATGGTACGGTTAAACCAGGCACTTTTAAAATCCATGCATCACACTTGTGGTGTAGTAAGGAGGTTTTCTACAGTAAGCCACGTGTATTCGATTATGATGGCGATTCTTTCTTGTCAACAATGTTTCATCCACGCTGCTCGAAAAGCCCGCCTCTGTTCCTTGCTCCTACCCTTCTGGGTATTATTTTACATTGGTAGCTGCCACAAGTCGTCTATTGTGTGTTTATTGTGACTATTCGTACACAAACCATTCTGCTACTCCATTACTTCTCTTTCTGTTCATGTAGCCGTTTGCCAGTCTCCCCAACAGCGTGGGTCGTGTGGTCAACAACTCCCTCGCTACTACTTTGAATCACGAACGCAGACTTGCCTCAGTTTCACCTACAGCGGCTGTGGTGGAAACTTCAACATCTTTGCCTCCGAAGAAGCTTGTTACAAGCGATGCAAAATCAGTAAGGCCTTCCAACCAAACGTACTGTGCATCTACGGTGTGCAACGCCCATTCTGCCCATTGCACGACATTGGTAACATATTTGCTTTTAAAACCTCTTTCACGTTGTGAAAGAGGTGTGTACTGTATCCTTGCTGGCTAGTTGCGGAGTTGCAGTCATAACAGATATGACAGGGGAGATACTCAGTGAACCTGTTTGACCCATTGGATGCTGAACACTTTGGCATGGGCCAGTTTTCTACGCTCTGCATGACTTTGTGTAGTGAGCCCCTTTAGTAGCTACTAGGGTGACTGTGTGACTGTGCACAATGTTCATTTTCTTGTATTTGCAGCGTGCATTGACCCCGGCACTCCGGCAAATGGCCAGCGGGTTGTGTTCCCTGCTAATAGCAACTTTGAGCCCCGGACGTACATCACATTCAGCTGCTCACCTGGATACCGTCTTGTCGGCATACCGATAATATCTTGTCTTGAGAATGGCTCCTTTTCCGCACCACCACCAAGCTGTCAACGTAAGGCACCAGCCGTTCTGCTGTTGTTGCTGCTGTGCTGCCCATTATTGCTGTTACTGATGTATCTTATACCTTGCTTGTTGTACTTCATGTATGTCTTTTGAAATGTTCATTCCCCTTCCTCCCCCCCCCCCCCCCTGCCCCCGACAATGAGGCTATGTGTTGTGTGTTAACTTGTGGTAGTGGAGGGAGTGGATTCAAAATGAGAGTGGTATGAATTGTGTCGGCAGGCTACGGGTGTAGTCTGCACAACCAGTATTATTACGTATCTACTGTTTGCGCTGAAGATCTCGCCTTGTGTCCAGTGGCTTAGATATGCCGCCAGGGGCGACTGGCCGTGTGTGTAGATGGCAGGTGGTATTTTAAAGTGATAGATATGTTTATGCACGCTCAACCTACCCCAACTATCTTCTAATCAACAGGCGCTGGCTCTTGTGTGTATTGTTACAGAGGCTACCTGTCCTGACCCAGGGCAAGTGGTGAACGCAGTACGAAGTCAGTCGTCGTCTGCTCTGACTGTCTCCAGCACAGTAACCTACACGTGCTCTGTTGGATTTGACATTAGTGGTACGACGACAAGAACGTGCCAGCCATCACGACAGTGGACAGGAAGCCCTCCAGTGTGCATAGGTACGTATGGTAGCTAGGCGAGGTTGAGTTACCCATAGTAGTACTTAAGTAGCCACAATCGACCAAGGTAGGTATCGTGGGTTGATCTACAGGTACGATTAAGAAACGAGACCCGTCAGAGATGAAGTCCTGCTTGGAAGCTGGCGGTCATTTCCAGCCATGCGGCAGCAGTGAAACTACAGCTCCATGTCAGCTGTCATCCTCGTCATACTTTATCCATCTCTTAGGAATGAACTTCTGCATTACGATTAGTTTCAAATTAGCTTCACCATGTCCATGTCACCCCTTCTTGTACGCACGAAACTGTTTCAACACAAATATAAATATGCATTTTCAACAGGTCTACTACAATAGGGTGATGGTCTTCTCATTTATTTCTTGTACCGTGTTTCTAGCTCGCCGTTGTCCAGATCCCGGTACTCCGACAAACGGCCGTCGTGACGGCGACAACTTTGCAGTTGAGCAAACCGTTCAGTACGTCTGCGACAGCGGGTATCGGCTGGTGGGTGCTGATCGACCTGTGTGCCTACCCACCGGACAGTGGTCTGAGGAACTACCAACCTGCATAGGTAACCATGGAAACCAAACACTTGGAGCACTCTGCAGTGCAAGTGTACAGCAATTAGTTTTCAAGAATCGTAGCACACGAGGCGCGTCAAGCACATTTAGATGAACATTTTGTTCTCCAAAGTAGGGACCAAGTTACCCAGCAATTCGGAATTGTCCTCCGAATGAACTGTGTCCATATAGGCTTCCCTCCACCCCCTCACCCCTCACAATGAGCAGCCGTTTTAAACAAATATCGGTGGAGCACGC